GGGGAGGCCTACCGGCTGCAGGGCCGCGTCATCACCGTGCTCGACAGGTTCGTGCGGCTGGCGCAGCGGCAGCCTCGCAAGGCCTTCTTCATCTATGAGGGCGAGGTGCACACCTACGGCGACGTGGACCGCAGGAGCAACAGGGTGGCACAGGTCTTCCTCCGCCATGGGGGCCTGGAAAAGGGCGACACGGTGGCGCTGCTCATGGGCAATGAGCCTGACTTCATCCACGTGTGGTTCGGATTGGCCAAGCTGGGCTGTGTGGTGGCCTTCCTCAACTTCAACATCCGCTCCCGGTCGCTCCTGCACTGCCTCAGCAGCTGTGAGCCCAAGATACTGGTTGTAGGAGCAGGTAGAGTATGCGCCTGGTTTGTTGCTTCCAAAGCTTTTAATGTCATGCCTCCCCAGCTACCTCACTGAAAACCTGATTTTCCCTGGTGTCCATTGAGGCAAGGGACTGGAAGGACCACCAGGATGTTGTAACACCCAAGCCTCTGGCATTCAAAACAGAATTGAATATAACCATCCCCCAAGGACCTGTATTTAAACTGGTCTTCAAAAATGTATGTTGCAGGAACACTTACAGCTCCTGAGTGCAGTTTGTTACAAGTGTTTAATCACCTCAGGGGTTGCATAATTTGTCTCAGAGAAGGTTAAAATGGGATATTTGGAATCATTTTCCATTCCTAATTTTTTAAATAGCTAATTTTATTCTTATTCATGTTGTTCTTTCTTTTCCTGTGCTATATCACCATCCTCTTTGGCGATCAAAACCCCTATGAACTAGGAGCCATAAGCTGCAGGTGTGCGATTTCTGTTGCACATTTGTGCTTGGAAGTGTGATTGTTTTCTGCAGGTTCCCACTTAAGAGTTTTATTTTATGGGCATAGCACGTAGGAGGTTGATTTACAATAACCGACTGCTGGCATTGCCTTATAGAAGTTGCTTTGCTTTGACTGAAGAGGCAGTAATAGTGTTATATAGTCCAAAATCTAAACTGGCTTGTAGAGACTTTCAGCATTTATGGTCAAAATTTGTAAGTGAGCCCATAATGCTAAAAGATCAAACAAACAGAGCCTTCTGTCTTTTTCACTAGAAGAGGATGTTTTAAAAGAAGAAACATGATTTTTTGTTCTGCCTCTAAAACTTCTGAGTGTACTCTGCCTTTATTCTAGTTAACAACTTCTTTTCCTATTCTTGTCAGAGTGGGTTTTTGCCACTGTGACACCAGATTTCTGCAGTTTCCTTACATTTTCTCTCTGCTGCTGTAAACATATGCTTTAATAAGAAAATTATTTAAGTTTCATCTCTAGCAGATTGTAATTTAATTATAATGTTTTTAGTGTGATTGTACAGCATGCTTACTCAAGAATGGTAATTAAAACAAGCTAATGAACTGAGAGACAATTTCTGTGTTGTCACAAAATACATAACTTTTCTGAACAGATGTTTTTTCATTTTACTGTCTAACTTAAAAATAAAAACAATCTCATTTAAAGCACCTTCCTGCTTTTTAATATGTGCTATTCAGTGTATTCTTCTGTACTGAAGAACAGAATTCATGTTCAGGCAGTTCTTTTTCCTGGATGGTGATTAAGGAGAATTTGGGGTCAGATCTTGTATCCAAGAAGAATATTTAATAAAATAAGAGTCTAACTGATGAATGAGAAAAGTTCTTGTGAAGCAGGAGTTGGGCTGGTATTTCCCACTCTAGTCTGTGAGCTGCAGCTGACAGGAACAGCAACTGTGGTGATCTAACACAAGTTCGAGCTCTATTCAAGGACTCCTGTTGGGCCAGTCACTCTGCCCACTAAAGAAAAACTATCCACAGACTGGTAATATAACAGAGATACAAAAGAAAAAAAAATCTCAGAGATGGTCCTTTGTGAGTTGGTCATCTTCCTTTTCGTGATCTCTTTTGTGAAAGAGATTAAAATTCTACATAACCTTGATTATTGGCCATGCCATGTGAAAAGGGAGTTCCCTCCAAAGGGGTCCAAAATTTGCAATTCAAGATTTCTATGCTGCTGTGTGTCTGAGGGCTAATTTAGTTAAGTCTTTGTATAAGTGTTTGTCCATTTATTATCCTGATACATTTTCATTAAGCCAATGTTGCAACAATGTTGCTCCATATTTAAGACTGAGGATACACAGTCGGTTAGAGTTAGTTTAACTGACTGTGTATCCTCAGTCTTAAAGGTTAGCATCTTTTTATCAGATGCTTGTATGGTTTTTTTTTTTTTCCCTTGTTTCTTTTCTTTTCTTCAAGAGCTTCTGCCTTGTGTCATCAGTGGGCATGATCTGGACTTTTACATCTATCTATCTATCTATCTAGCTAGCTAGCTAGCTAGCTACCTACCTACCTACGTATAATACGTGTGTGTGCATGTGTTTTGCTGTTGTGACATTGCTTACCACAGGAGTCTGGAAAGCAACGGTGTGCTAATTACTGCGGTTTTGCAAAATATTTACACTTAAAATTTTAATTTGTGATTCAACCTGTGGATGCAATGATAATGTACTATGTTTGGTGACCAAAGTTTCTTTCTTTTTTTCTTAGCTTTTTTTTTTTTCAACTGGTGTTTAAGTGATTAGAAATTTCAATATGTAAAAATATTACTTCTGGATTGTGGAAATCCTATTTTTTAACAGTATGTACTTTTTTCAACATCTACAAACAGATCAAACCACCTTCATTTTGTCATAGGTCTTCATGAATGGATTCCTCTTCTACAGTACTTCTTTCTTCTTGTTCTTCTTCTTCATCAAACCTCATTTCAAGTATGTTTCCAGGCTTGGCTTAGTAACTCCAGTTAATGAAACAGTAACAAAACTATCTTTTCAGTATTCTGGAGGACGATTAATGTAGCTCATAGACTGCAGCACAACAGAAATCATCCCCCTGCAATTTGACCATTTATTGCCTGTGCTCAAAAAGACCAGATTTTTATTGAAATTCTTGACCGTAATAGCGAATTAAACCAGGAACCTGCATTTGAATACTCTTAATAATAAGATTTTATTTGTGTTGATAGTGACATTCCACTTTCTGGTGATATCTGGGATAGTTCCCACAGATAGATGTTCACTAAGGAGTCGTCTCTGCTCAGAATGCTGGTGTAATCTCCCTCTGGGTGAGGTAATTGCACTTTGTTTCTTCTTTTGGTACATTCTGTCCTTTTTTTTTTTTTCCCAAAAATGTTTTTGCTTGTTACAAGTGGAATACTTATATTCAAATAGGCAGGGTACTACTTACGCATGTATTTTCTTCCACACCTTGTTCAGTCTTTCATGTTGCCTCTTGCAAGATCTTTCTCATTGTATGGACACTTCTTTGAACTCTTCAGGGTTTTTTTTGTGTCTGCATATTTTTCTGTGGTTGTAGTTTGGTAATCCAATCCAATTAGTATCATCTTGTTTTGCTTCCAGATCTGACACTTTGCTGTTGACTTAGGTATTTCACAAACTCCCGTCATCCACAAACTCTCTGCAATTGAACATTTGATTTAAGTCATGGTGTTATAAAAGCTTACAGATTTCTCCCTCTTGTTATTTTCTGATATGAAATGGTTATTTTAAAAAGTTTTTAAAAGTTTTTCTTCTCCCTAGGAATATTCTTTCAATTGACCTAGCACAATTCATTAACTTTCTTGCTTTTTTTGTCTTTCAAACACAGGCTATAATGCACATGCAGGTGGCTTGATTTACCAATATTTAGCCTTTCAGTTCTTTCTTTCTAGTATTTTCATATTCCCATTTGGCTTTGTGATAGAGACAGTTTTTGTGTTGTCCCCTTTCAATTATCTGCAGTATTCACAGAGCATTTCAACTGCTTTGGGATTTTTAGCACTTGTTTTAATTTCTAGCATAACATTTTCACTCTTCCATTTCCTGGAACACTGTCTATCATTCCCTCCCTTTCTCTCTGTGCTGGGGAATGTTGCTGAAAGGGATCCAAAGTTGCAGTTTAGAACTGCATCTTTAATAAAACAGCAGTTAAATAGCATGTAAGTAAATGAGAAATTTGTGAAGAAGAAGGAAGAGTTGGTATGCCTTCTCTATCAGGTTGTCAACATTAATTTACTGTTGAAGCAAATGCTTTCAACTAGAACAGTCTGACCTGCTTAAAAGGTGTTTGTCTGTTTGTTATCAATTCTTTCTCATTTTATTCATTATGAAACTATTGGATAAACTAAAGATAAGGTCCTGCCTAACAGAAGCTTTTAACTTGTGAAAGCATTGCATCCTTCCTAGAGAATTTTTGTAGTCACCAAAGTCTTGCTTGAACAAGAAAGCATGCTTTACTTTTAAGCAGTAGTTGTGTGAAAGCCTTCACTAGTGAACAGTATTTGCAACCCCATCAGAAAGGTCCAAGTGGAATTTTCCAGTGTGGTCATGCTGTGGGAAGAGTTCAGGTCTTAGCAGGACATCTCAGATTGCCATCATGAGTTCTGATTCAGGGATCCAGCAGCAAAAGGTTTACATTACTAGACTCCATGAGTTTGGTTTACATCAGTCCTCATAGCAAAGGGAGTACATGGAATTATGTCTCCCAGCTATTCAAAGTAAAAGCATTTTGCGCACCAGGATTACCTGCTCTCTCTCTCTATATATAAATATGTAAGTGCCTATAGGGCTTCTAGCCCAAAGAAAAACCAAGATTGCTTTCTGCCACTGTTCAGTATATTCAGAACTTTTCACTGAGAGATTTCTGTAGCAGGATTAATGCTGGCAGGAGTGAGGTCCAGCCAGAAGGGAGTTTACGTCCTGGAGAATGAAGCAGTAAGCAGATTTTTTTTTGGTGTTTGCGATTTAGGATTATATGGTGTGATATACAGTTAGCAGGATCACTGCTCATTTGTTAGTCACTGATTGTACGAAAATGAATGGAAGAAGGCTATTAGGCTTTTGCCAAAAACATTCAGGGCAAGGGAGCAATGTAAGATCTGCAAAAGACACCACTGTATTTGACACTCTCTTGAATAACTTGCTGGCTTCTCTTTCAGTCTGTAACTCTGTCACAGATATTCTTTGACCGAAAAACAGTGCCAGCTGTTTGAGATTTCCAGATCTGCTTTTGTTTACTATCTTCAGTACCTTCAGCGACATTTCAGGATGCCACAATGACCCTGAGCCACACCTGAGTTGTAAAGATTTCTATTATTATTTGTTATGTAATTAGTGGAATAAAAAGGGCTCAGAAGACTGAATGTAGCGTGTCACTGGGAAATGGGGTGCAGGTTCCAATTACTTTCTGATGCCAGACAGTGCGGGAAAGGATTAAGACTTGCCATAGCTTACTGAGCCTATCAAGCCTGAGGGTACACATCAAATTTATTTAAGAAACATTTCATACATTTTCCTTTTTTTGAGTAACTTTCTGTGCAGTACAAGTTGATCTCACAATCTGATTTATTTCTTTCATCAGTGTAGAACTGTGTCTGCTTGCCAATAGGTTGCATTGTTTCTTTGTTAGAAAATAATATAAAAACCCTCTGTGCAACTTGAAACCCAGGACAGTAGTTTAAAGCCAAAACACATTTTGTCTGCTTTCTCAGAAGATGTAAATGACTTCTATGTATTCACATGAATTTAATGCAAAGTACTATTTCACCAATGATCTCTTAAAATAAAAAAAAAAAAATCTTGCTTTTAAAGAATTTAGAAAGGTTTGGAAAAGTGTCTCCATTTGCAGCACTTACATTTTTTTTTTTAAGTAGAAGCCAACTAATTAGAAAATGATGAATATTCATACGCAAAACCAACGTAAACAGTACAGAGAATAGCTGGTTACATTGCTGAATTTGAGATGAATAATGATTTCATCCAAAGCAAATACACCAAAACCTGAATGTAATTTAATTGCTTAAAAGACAAACAAGTACCTGAAATAAAATCAAAATATCTAGATTGCTTTACTATAAGGTGATATACCATATTGCCTAGAAATGATTGAACTATAGGTTCTCCATATATTCCTGACACATGGACAGGACCACATATAAAGACCAAAAAGGTTTTTACAGCATCTGTAAAATGCAGAAATTCCTTGCTCGCAGAACAACACATTAGTTTGCTTTCATCAGACTTATTCTGTAAGTCTAATCAGAATTCTGTATCTTTACGAAATCATCTTTGGTATTCCTTCATGTTTTATTTCATGGATTTCCCAGAACACGAATAAACAGTGTTTTAGCATTTTAGAGAGCAGAAATGCAGCTCCACCCACTTCAGACATGGGTTTCTCTTGTTAGGTTCTCAATCTTTTACTAAAAAAAGTGATAGGGTATTCAGGACACATGAAGACAGAAATGGGCATGAGAAGCTAAGCATATTGTTATGTCTCACTCAGGTTTATTAATAAGCTATTTTTCATTAGGATTAGTACAGATTAACTGCCTAATTTTATATTACAGCAGCAAAGCAAAATCCCAATGGAACCTCTGAGTACAGTGCAGCAGGTTTCCTGCAGTAAAGATTACTCTTCATTCTCAGTATTTCGCTTGTTGTTATATATATTTGAAGGGGACTGTACTCTAATATTTCAAAGTAGAGGCCATCTTTTATATTTCCCTAATTCTCTGACTGATTTCTTCCTGAACTCATTCTGCTGTGCAAATAATTCAGAACAGAAAAATAAATGTCATGGTCCATCAGATATATGGGTTGAATCTTATATAGAACACTAAAAAAACAAACAAACAAACAAACAAAAACCCATAGAATATACAGAAATTCTAAAACATAGACTATACAGTCCTCTGTGGACTTCAGGCATGTATTTTTTTATTCAGGGACTATAGGCCATCTCTCTATTATAATGGGGGAAAATCTATGCTATTCATTAAAACATATACAGTAGTCTGTTACTGGAAAAGTGTGTTTTAAAGGATAAAAAAATCTTTGCTTATTTTAGTGTAAAATATATGCCAAGGGTTTTTTTTATTAGTATATATCTTTGAGAAAAGAACTTGGAATTGAAGTCAAATTGAGTTCAAATGCTGGCTCTGGCAATGTCTCATTATAAGGTTCTAGAGAAGTCATTTCAGCTTTGTTTTTCCATCCATAAAAACTGAGATAATAACTTACAATTATACCCACAGGGCTATTTACAAGATTAATTACATAGGCTGTGATCCAGCAAAGCACTTAAATATAAATAGATTTTTAAGTATATGAATAGTTCTATTTATTAACAACTATATGAGTATTCCTTTTCTTGAGAATTTTACTGGATTAGTAGTTTTAACATCTATGCAGTGTCCTGAGAATATGACAGATTGTAGCATTGTTAAAATATACAAATACCAAATGCATTACTTGGGAATTGGCCTCTGTTTCTATATTTTTGTACTTTTTATTCTGTGACTCTCTCATTTTTTCTTTCTTGCTTATTTATGCTACTGTTTTTATCTTATAAAATTGAATTTGTATTTCTTTTCAGAAAAAAAAGCTAATAGTAGGAAAGGCTTTCAGTGAATGTACATATGAATCTAAGGAAATAAAATTTTCCAAGATACTAAAATAATATTTGCTGGGGTATCTAAAACACTTAAGGAACCACATTAGTACCCACATATTTTTTCAGAAGCATCTCTATCAGCAGGTGCCTGAACCATATTTTACTTCTTTAAAATTCAGGCACATACATATATGATAGTGTGGATTTTTTATTTTTTTTTAAATGAGTCACTTCTGTGCTTTTAGAAAAAAAAATCCTCCTTGATGATAGGATACTGCTAAATGCTTGACGCTGCTGAGGGCATTCAAGGAAACCTACATTATAGTTACCAGCTATGTATATATTTGTCTTGCATCATGAGCTGATTTCTTGATCAGTTATTTGAAGTTGATGTTTAACTACACTATTCAGGTCATACCAGAAGAAAGCAGTCAAATCTCACTGTTTTCACTTGATGGCTTATTGACATTCAGATCGCATGGAGACAACAGTATTTGTGCCAATTTGTACACTATTTTCAATGAATTTCCACACCAGTTCATCATTATTTCATTGTATTCATTTATACCCATTATTCCTCTTTCTATTATAAGATTAAAAGTGTCAGGGGAAAAATACTTTATGTGAATTTAGTTTTGTGAAGATATAACATTATTTTATGTTGAATTTCAAGATTTGCTTGGGACTCTAGAAGAAATCCTTCCTGATCTCCAAAAAGATGTTAGTGTTTGGATAATGACCAAAGACTCTGCTTTGCCAAGCGTGCATACCCTTTTAGACAAAATAGAGGCTGCATCTGAAGACTCTGTTCCAGCTGATCGACGCTCTGCAAACAACCTCAAGTCATCTGCTCTCTACATATTTACATCAGGAACAACAGGTAGAAGCCTTCTAAATAGTCAATATTTTCCTAAAACTTTCTCCAGAAGCTTCCTTCTTCTTTTTTTTTTTTTTTTTCCTTTTTTGGAAGCTCTTAAGAATATCTGTGTAATTTCATATACAGAAGCATTTTATTTGGAAATAAGCATGCTTTCCTATTTGCCAAATTGTGCAAATTGTTCAAATTCTCTGAAGTTTTATCTTATTATCTAACAGCTAGGGTGGTTTAAAATGTTTTGAATATTCTGGGGATTTCCAACTGTAACAATACTATTTGTGATCACAAAACACAATATTATCTATAGTAACTATTGTGTATCTCACATATTAGAGCTATTATTATATCTTGAATATTAGAAAGCCAGTTTAGAATAAGCAAATATACATTTAATTTTTCTTCATTCAGTCATCTTGTATGCTGGTCCCTGTAGAGACAGAAAATAGGATTAAGTTACTAGCCTTTTAGTTTAGAAACAGATGGCAGAATTCATTACCAATGCTCCAGCAGCTAAGAAGCTAAGACTTTTTAAAAACTGGTTACTGACATGAAAAGCAGCGTGATGTTGTTAAGATAAGCAGATTGGCATTCTCATTCAGTTGAACACTGTGGTGCAGTTTAGCCATAAGAAGATTTAAAATCAAGATATGTTTTTGTGGTTTGATTCCCTGCCCAAATAATTAAATATTTTAGATTCTGGGAAATAATTTGAAAAATGGAAGTTAAGGTCTAGAATAATAGAATAAATAAATAAATAAAAGATGTAAATGTCTTTCAGAGATCAAGTTTGAAATATTATTAATACAAATCTTGAACTTGCTGGTAAAAGTAAGGAGTTCTATTTTAACACTATTATAGCATCCGCCAGGGAAGCTGCAGTATTATAACTTCATTCACAATCTCTGTGGAAGGGCTTTATGAATGTTTGTCATACAGGATATTACATATTTTTGAATGCTTGTATGTATAACTAATTTACATTGACTTTCTTACGTCTGCCATGTAATTAGAAAAATAAGGGTTGTTTAGTCTGAAGACTATGAAATATGTACTTTTAATCTAAAGTAAATCAGGATTTTTTACACTTTCTGATAATGTAATAACATAGTGTCCCTCATAAAATTAATGGTCAGTAAACTTCATTAAAAGAAAATAGTATCTTGCAAAGTCTAACAGTAGGTAGCTCTTTTTAAAGGCAGAAGAAAAAAAGCAAGATCTCTAAAAGACCTCTTGCTGAAGTGCTTCATTGACAGCATATGCTCATTTCCTCTTCTCATCAGTACAAAGGGTAGTGGAATTCATCAGTTCTATTTCATTACATTTCTTAAAAAATGTAAAAGTTCCTGTGTTCCTCATCAGGACCAAGTCTGGATTTTGTGCATGTGTATGTACATGAGTAGAACAGACATGAAAAAAGAATACTCCTCCTACTGCAAATAATGATACCAGAGAATAGTCTGAGGAGAGTCCTTGGCTCTGGAATGTGCGTCTTTATGTCACTGAACAGAAATTCTGGACCTGACAAATCTCACTGAGAAGAGCCTAATTAGAATGGACTCTCAGCCTTTTTTGCTGAAAATGTTTAATTCTGCATAGCCTTCACAGTGTTGTAAGTCAAATAACTAGACTTTAGAGGAAGACAGACATCCACTAATTGATTTACCTGATATAGATCACATACATTTCCCAACTGTGGTTCTTGCCCAGAATGCCACTTCTTGTTAAAGAAGTCCCTGTGTACCCTAGGTGCCTTTTGCTCTCTACTGATTCTATGTAATTTGATAGTACTGTAGCCTTGGGGTTTCCTCATGTTTCTGCCTATTGAATCGTCTTGACATCTGATTAAATGACTAACACATGGTTTAAAACTGGCTTATTTATCTTCATATGTATGGAATGAACACATACAGTACTGTCCTAAGCACCGAATTGACTGTTTAGCTAAATGATTGGATGAAAATTTGACTATGAAAGAAACCTTTTATTCTGTTGTATAACAGAATATAGACCTCCCAGAGAGAGAGAAAAAGAAGGGAATTTTGTCTTCTCTTTAACAGATGCTTTGTATCTGTGCTTTTGTGTTTTTAACACAGGCCTTCCAAAGGCTGCATTCATCAGTCACATGCAAGTTCTCAAAGGATCTGCTGGTCTGTGGGCTTTTGGTGCTACTCCAGAAGACATCATTTATATTACTCTGCCTCTTTATCACAGTGCAGCATCTCTCCTTGGTATTGGTGGATGCATAGAATTAGGTAAAATTCATCTAATTTAATTGTATTGTTAATAGAGAATTAATTATATATAAAAAGTATGTTTAGGTTCACTGCCATTACAGGAACTAGTGTTATGACAAAATTGAATGATTTTTGTCGTTTCGTTTTGTTTTGTTTTTTTATGTTGTTCTGTATTTTGGGGACAGAGGTGGGTATTGAAAAGGGATTACTTATACTTACTTCTTTTTATTTTCTTTTATATTTGGAAAAAAGTATAGGCAGATAAGTAATATTTTGTTTATATGTTTATAGCCAATTAACCTATTGGAATAGGGTTAATGTGCTCAGGTAAACCTAAAAAGGCTGAAAAATATACTTATAGCAAATATATAGAAAATATTTTTTGTGTTGTTACCATTGGTTACCATTGCTATCACGATGTTGAAGTTGTATTCTATTTTGCCCTGGGCTATAAAATAAATATTTTACTGAGACAATGCAACTGTCCTCAATAAATGTCTTAGCATAAATTTATTTTCAGTTTAATGACAAACATTTCCTATTTTCTGAAGCATCAAGCCAAAGTAAGGGAGAAGATGAGATATATGGGATTGCAGACTAATTCTGTCTGAATTTACATCAATGATTTTTTTTTTCCTTAAAAATGCAGTTTCAGTGAGTATCAAGCTACTTGCTAATTCAGGTGGATTATGCTGATTATTTCTGAATATTTTTGCACAATCTTACAACACCAGCAAAAGGAAGATATTCTCTTCCTTTTACCCATGTCTGTTGGTTGGAAGGAGACCAGGCTCATGTCCCTTTTTTGTCTATCAGAGTTTGGAAACGCATCTTCTGATAAGACATATTAACTACCAAATAATATGACTGTCTGAATGGGGATGGTCTCAGTTCCCCTCCCTTTCTGTTTTGTAGAAATAATGAACATATTTTTCTAAGCTACCATATAGAGAAGGTGCTTCATGTCCTGTTCTGCTGTTTCCATAAAGGTGCAACTTGTGTCTTAAGAAAGAAGTTCTCAGCTAGTCAGTTCTGGAATGACTGCAGAAAATACAATGTGACTGTCATCCAGTACATTGGAGAACTTTGTCGCTACCTTTGCAACCAGCCAGTGGTAAGCAGAATCAAAATGATAGCTATCCAGCTGTTACTTCTTTGTACATTTATTGTTCTAGCTGTATTTATGGTAAAAGCAAAGTAAAACTATACTGAAATTGTCCCCCAGTATGTCCCTTTTATATGAGGTACCCTAGCTAGCTGGCTGCTTGTAGACTATAAAAAACAAATGACTGGAATTAGGAAAAAGAAAATACTGAAGGAAAAGAGTTTCACAATGTGAGTTCAGAACACCTGGATTACTGAAAAAATGCCTTTTCAGTTTTGTCAAAACTTTGCTTCTTGGCACAAAAATGAATGAGAAATCTCACATTTTATAAGTCATGTTTTAACATGATTTTGGCTTGTGGGACATGCTTGAATTTAAGCGAATATTTTAGACTATATTTTACAACTTTGAAGAAGTTTGGTCCAGGGCAGTAGATCAGAAGAAAAATGCTATTTTTTCCAATTAGAAAGCTGTTCCAAACAACAAAATTAGTTTTGTTAAAATGCCATTCCTGCCTGAATCTGTTAGTCCTAACTTCAAAATGCTTGTTTTGCTATAGCACTCATCAATGTTGTCTGTCTGCAGTCTATCAAGAACTAAATATGTCGAAACTGCTGAAAATGGCAATAATAATTGACGCAAGTTAACTGAATTAATTTACAGTCTGGCTATTTTATGGTATGTTCTTGCATCTTCCCACTGGGGTAGAGAGAGTGAGAGATGTTTTGGCTAAATCAAGTACCTAGATTTGAAAGAATTAATTCCAGACTTAGCATAAAATAATACAACTAGAATGGATTAAAGTCATAATCTTTTGCAGAGCAAACACAGTCTCTTGATTGTTCCCAAGTGCTTGGTTTAACAGCGTAAAAATGAATTTGAAAGAAAATATTCTTCACCAGTAGGAACTAAAATTTATCTTGTTAATTCTAGTGGCTGCTGTTCTATCCATTTGATCTAGGTTATACTGTTGTGCTTCAATAACAAGCCCTAATATGAAATCATGAATCATCTTAGTAGAGCATTTTAATGCTTTTATACAGTATATAATGATCACAAACACTTTTCATTTTTAATGCTAAATATAACTAAATAACTGCTTGTCAGTACTTGTATTATATTAAAGCAAAAAGAAATGTATCCTCTTTTAATTTAACACATTGTTTAGGAAAAAAAACAAAGATATTTGTGCAAATGTACAGAGTTGTGTGCATTGCACCTGATATCTCTTTAAAGAGGATCTCTTTACCTCTATAGATAATCATAATTTAATTTTGGATTTCAAATATAAAAGCAGGATATTATTTCCTGTTCATTGAATTTTATTCAAATGACTCCTGTTTCAGGAAATGGTTACAATAACTCAAATTAATGAAACGGAAAATTCTTTTCTAATCCAAGTCTCATTTTATGATTTTCTAGAGTACTAACTTCTTACTTCAGCAGCATTTAATCACTTGCAAGAGAATATTTTCCAGCAAAAAAAAAACCTTGCATTTGTATCACAATCTGCAGACCAAAAAAATTAATAAAAGGGCTTGGTAATCAGAAGACACTGTTTTTTTTTTTTTTTTTTTTTTTTCCTCCTGAAAATTTGAAGTGCTGCTAATCAGAGAGACCTAGACAGGATGGAGAGTTGGGCAGAGAGGAACCTCATGAGGTTCAACAAGGACAAGTGCAGGGTCCTGCACCTGGGGAGGAATAACCACAGGCACCAGGACAGATTAGGGGTTGACCTGCTGGAAAGCAGCTCCGCAGAGAGGGATTTGGGAGTCCTGGTTGACAACAAGTTAACCATGAGGCAGCAATGTGCCCTCGTGGCCAGGGAGGCCAATGGGATCCTGGATCCTGTACCAGGAGGAGCATTGCCAGCAGGTGGAGGGAGGGGATCCTGCCCCTCTGCTCAGCTCTGGTGAGGCCGCACCTGGAGTATTGGGGGCAGTTCTGGGCTACCCAGAGCAAGAGGGACATTGAGCTTCTAGAGAGGGTCCAGCGTAGGGCCATGAAGATGATTAAGGAACTGGAGCATCTATCGTATGAAGAAAGACTAAGTAAGTGAGCTGGGCCTATTTAGTCAGGAGAAGATTGAGGGGAGATCTGATCAACATGTACAAGTGAGGGGTGATTGTAGGGAGGATGGGGCCAAACTCTTCTCCGTGGTGGCCCGTGACAGGACAAGGGGTAATGGGTATAAATTAAAACACAGGAAGTTCCACCTCCATGTGAGGAAGAACTTCTTTCCTGTGAGGGTGACAGAGCACTGGAACAGGCTGCCCAGAGAGGCTGGGGAGTCTCCTTCTCTGGAGATCTTCCAAACCCACCTGGATGCCGCCCTGTGCCACGTGCTCTAGGTGACCCTGCTGGAGTAGGGGGGTTGGACCAGATGATCTCTAGAGGTCCCTTCCAACCTCAACCACTCTGTGATTCTGTGAAGTATTAAAATAGTGTAGAAGTAGATTCAAAGTACGTATATCATTGTCTATGTTTGCCTTTCATCAAAAAGAACATTCTGGATTAAAAAGCACATCTAATGTCCCAGTGAACAGCAATGCTTGCCATGTGAATTCAGAATAATGATAGTTCATATGTATATAAAAACAATCTCTCTCTCTTTTTTTCATAATTATGTAAATAAGAATTATATTTAAAAAAATCAAGCTCAAAACTTTGAGGCAAGGCCATCTTTACATATGGTCATTTTTTCTTCATTGTAAGCTAACATGATTTCCCCAAAGCCCTTCCTCTTCTATTTCCTAGTTTCTGCTGTTTGTAATCTCAGATATTAATAGCACTTTGTGTCCTATGATTGTACAGTTAAAGCATGGCATTCTGCATTATACTGTCTCATCCTGTTGAGTATCTTAGTTTAAGATTAACGTATGTCATTTTGTAACAGTAAGTTTTTCTTTATTTTCTAGCTCCTTCAAAACCACAACAAAGATAAAGGAGTTTGAACTCTTGCAAATAATGTTAGTTGTGCTATCATTAAATAATCCTCCTGTTTGTTAATAGGAGGGCTGTGAGACAGTTAATAAGTTAGCCTGTGAGACTGGCTAATAGACTGTGAGGCTACTTTTCTGCCTTTTTTGGTATCCAGTTAAAGAGAAACCTAATGTTCCTTCTTGGAAAAAAAAAGAAAAAGAAAAAAAAAAAAAAACACAAACCAACCAGCCTCTCCCTCCCCATCAATCTTATAAAATGCATCCTTTTCAAAGCTTATTAGATTGTTAGATTAGAAAAACCTAAAGAAAAACAGTGACTATCATGTTAGAAGTGGAAGAGAAACAAGACCACACAAATAAGTCAAGGATTCTAAATATATTGTGCAATCCAGTATTATTTTTTAAGTAGGTGAAATTATTTGTCAACTTGTTATCTCCTTGTAAGTGTCATTAACTTTAGAAGTAATGCATATTCTGTCAGTGTGCAAAGCATCTGCCTAATATATGTTTTTAATCTGTACCATGTGGTAGAGTAGAATCTATCAATGATACCATGTGGCTGAGGGGCAGTATTCTCAAAGTTAGAGTTCTATAAAGCCCTTCTAATGAATACATTTTAAAACCAAAGGAATTTCCTAAAGTGCTTCATTTGTTTCTTTAAAGTTAATACTAAGCTTGAATTAAATAGTGTATTTGTAAAGAGTTCATTATGGACTTCTAAGCAGAAAAAGACATAATAAATGAAGGGCTTTTTCCTCTGCTGCATGTACACACACCCTACCACAAAAGGCCATTTAGCTCTTTTCCAAAATATTTTTTCACCTGTCACCTGCCACTGGTACATCTGTCTTATCCTGTGTGGAAAGAAAACACTATGTAGGAATTATCAGGAAGTTCTGTGGCTGAGGCATCGACACAGGAGAGGTCTCACTGTGGAGAGGAGATGCTCCTCTTAGTTTTCCTTATTAGCTCTGTTTTGTTCAGTCTTTCAGCCTTCTACTCACATCTGCAACAGCTCTTCAAGAGTCTTTTGCAGTGGAATTTTCTGCAATCTGCTTTACATCCAGTTTGTTTTAGTAACATGTGTGTGGTCTGGAAAGATCACTCATTGGAAAGGGAAGCCCTGTCAGCAGCAATGTCCACTCCATGTTTTATTTTTCCACAAGTACAAAGACTCTGAAGTATGTGTTATGTGCAGCTTTTGCTGGGCAACTACGCAAGGGAGTAGCCCCATGAGGAAGCTCTCTCAAACTCTTTTTTTGCTCTCTTTTCATGCCAATGACAGTATGAAACGTGTCAGTAGCTAAAATGTGGTCTGAGACTTTAGCAGAGACCCATTTCCTCTTTAAGTAAAGGCCTTCAGAATAGTTTTATTTGTGAATATAGTTTACTCAGAGGTTTTCAACAAATTTAACATTGAAAGTATTCAATAATGAGTTATCAAGCTAATGAAATGTCTCTGGAAGCTTTTAGGAAGATACGAAGGAAGAAACTCTTCTCTGCAGTGGCCAGTGAAACGAGGGGTAACGGGTGTAAGCTGAAACACCAGAAGTTCCACCTCTATGTGAGGAAGAACTTCTTTCCTGTGAGGGTGCCAGAGCCCTGGAACAGGCTGCCCAGAGAGGTTGTGGAGTCTCCTTCTCTGGAGATCTTCAAAACCCACCTGGATGCCACCCTGTGCCACGTGCTCTAGGTGACCCTGCTTGAGTAGGGGGGTTGGACTAGATGATCTCTAGAGGTCCCTTCCAACCTCAACCACTCTGTGATTCTGTGAAAGCTAATGCAGTATCCCTTTTGTGCTTTTCTGTAAAGGAGATCCAGAAATAGTTTACAGATACAGGTTAGAAATTGATTTTCTAGATAATTGTATCCTGTTTCCGACTCTCCTAACTTGTTTTATGCTGTGACATCAATTTTATGATCTGTGATCCCTTGTGTGAACTTGGAACAGTCTGCATTAAAATTAAAGCTTGCCGATACTTATATTGAAAATCTATTTCACATTTATTAAATGATTGCTAAGAAATGCTGTTTCATTATCTGTCCTGTTGTGTCTCCATTTGATAT